AGGAGTACTGTCTCTTAACAACAGCCAGAAGAGGATACCTAGCAAAAAGTATGTCAAGAACAGGGTAAAAATATGCAATGTCTTTACAGATATCACCCAAGTTTTCAGTGTTCCACTTGGGGATGATACTTAGCAGAAACCAAATACAGTAATATATTGATATTATGAGCTGAAACTCTTCTCAAGAAGCTCCAACTTCTGCATATTTTGCATAAAACCTGCACATTGTCTAATTTTGTTAAATTGGCATTAGTTCATAGTGCAGTTATCAAATATTTAAGAAATGGAAGTACATGAAATCTTAGGGAAACTAAACAGTTCAGTCCATGAAACAATGGCTAAAGTTACAAGTGGGCCAGAAGATTTAGCTAGTCTCAAAAAAACTGTTTCTGAAGCAAACCTCAGGAAATTAAGAATACACCAAGTTCGAATGGATGCTGAACAAGCAACAACAAGCAGTACTAAACATATCACTCCTAAAAACTTTTGCCTCCTACTCTCTTAGACCACATTATTACATAAAACAATTGCATCACTTTCTATTCTTAAAGGATTGAGAGTGTATACCCATTTGTCTTCCAATCCCAGAGCTGCTTTCCACCATGTCTTGTTATACAGGGCAATTCTAATTTCTTTTCTTTTTAGCAATAAGTCTTCAACAAGAAAACATTCTACACTACACAAATCCTTTGGCCTATCACCTAAACATCACAGCCACTGTGGATATCACTGCAAGGAATCATCCATTTGAATCAGTGAGTGGATTCCTCTTCTGAGTTGCACCATCCTTACATCACTCCAACCAAGAAAATAAAAAGAAATTTTTGCAGCCACTTCCTCTTCACTCCCTCTCTTATCGTTTGAAATTCTATCTTTTAAGCTTTGTTATTTGCAGTAGGAAAAGCAATACAGTAACTGTAGGGTCAGTGCCTGTTCACTTTAATGACATCAGGAAGACAACTGACTAGCCTCATCTTAAATAATGAGGATGGAAGTTCAGTACTCAGTGATCACAATGAAGTCAAGGGCACACCGCCTAATCAAGACCAAAGAATTGCATGGCCTGCTTAGACACTGTATAATATCAAACCATTAAGAATACACAGCAGCACAAACAGCAGGATTCAAGTCAGACACCTCAGCCTCTCCCAGAAAGGAACAGCATTATCTAAGAAACATGGTGTGTTTGTGTAAGCATTGGAAAATAAGGATTTACTGCAGTACAGGAATCTAGAGTCATCATGAGTATTACGTGCATGCAAGACTAAAGCAAAAAACAGAACAAGAGGTAAGCACTCAGTATTTTCAGTAAGCTTCAATCACAGAAAGTGCATTTTCTGAACTTGCTTTATGCTGGGGAAAAAGCACATCATTAAAGAGAGGCAGCTGCTATTGTTTATTATATGACAAGTATTTAACTGCCCACGCATTTTACAAGCAAAACCCTTTATGTTCTATAGTCATACCTTAATCCATGCCTTCCATAAGATTTCTTCCTGGAAGAAATCCAGGAGCTCTGCTAGACCTGGCCACTTCTACGCCTGAACAACTATACATTTATCTAGAGATTGTTTTCAAACCACATATGAACTGCATTAAGACTGCATGGTTCCTCTGAGAAGCTAAAACCAGAGATTGCTACACTAATCTGAAGAATAATCCCACAAAATTAAGTATTTCTGCACAATATTTAAAAAGTAGTCATAAACTGGTAGCAGACACATGAAAGCAAAGAGTTAGTGCCTGCAACAGCAGCATCTGCTCCATTACCCAATTCTAATACGAAGCTGCTTCTTCCTTTCCTCTACCTTCCTTTCCTCCCTATTTGCTAAAAGTTATTATTAGAAAACATACATTACTGTATGTATTACTACAAATACATTACTGTAAGTTTCAGACATTATTGTACTGTAACTCCTTGATGCAAGCAATCAGACTCCAATTTAATCATCATTTGTAATGAAATATCGCAAAATAAGTGTCTTATTGTCCTGTGGTTGTTCTGTGCCCAGCAGACAAATGAGGAAGAGATTCATTTTCTTGATACCTGAATTTTAGGAAAGAGGGGGAAAAACAACTGGGCAAGTCTAAAACCCACAGATAAGCTGCAACACATTAACTGTGGCAGGACACTACCAACTTTATGTCCACAATTCATTGGTTTCAAGGATCCTCATGGTTCAAGACTGGCACAAAGCTATGCAAGAGGAGGTAAGGATTAAATATGAGGAAAAATGTTTTAATTATCTGGGTGATCAAACACTAGCACAGGGTCAGAACTTAACAGGTATTTAGATAATGCCCTCAACAATAAGCTTCAGCTTTTGATTAGCCCTGAAGAGCTCTCAAGCAGTGGACTGTATCTTTGTTGGTCCCTTCCAACTGAACAATTCTAAAAGTCATATTAAGATGCTTTCATAGCTCTGTAGCATTCTTGGTGTGACCTCCCCCCTATACCACCAACTTCTCATTCTTAAAAAAAAATTGAAAAGAAAAAAATACAAGACTTCAACAGGATAAAGGTTAAATTTTTCAGCTTGGAAAAAGAAACATCTGAGGAAAGAAAACAAATGAAGAAAGATTTGTGGAGGGCAAGTTGAAAAGAGCGTTTCCCATTTCTCACAGAAGTCTGAAAGGGTTTGCAATAAATGTTAATCAGACTGTTTTTTAAAAAGGCAGTTTTGGTTTTTTAGCTGTAACAATTAAATTGTAACATTAGATTGCCAGAGAACACCTTTGAAGCCTAAAGCTTGATGGCACTAAGTAGTTATTAGATCAATCTTCCCAAAATGGCCAATCAATGGCTGTGCAACATTATCTGGATTCAGTCTCTATTTTCATAAGTTCCTAAAATGCTGATCACCACGAGAAATAATTGTATGCTCAAGCTACAGTCCCTGAGCATCTGCTACACATCACTAGAGAACAGTGAGCCACATGAACCTTTGTTAAGATTCAGATGCACAGACTTTCAGATGAAGTGCATCATCCTTTCTCCCCTACCTGTCCTATACAATAGTCATTAACCTTACTTTGCAAAGAGTTTAAAAAAATGCTGCAAAGTTCTCCATTTGTCAATTATTCTGTGAGTAAATGTTTCACTGAGGAACAAAACCAATATCCTACGGCTGTGGATATAGCATGTAGGGACATGGTTTAGTGGTAGACTTGACAGTGTTAGGTTGACGGTTGGACTTTGTGATCTTAAGAGTCTTTTCTAAACTTAATGATTCTATGAGTCTAGAAGCACAAGAAATCACAGGTCACTGTCGTTTGCCCTCTTCCAGTTTAGATTCTAGAGAATTCTGTACATACTCCAAGTTTTAACCAGTTTATGACATTTCCCATTATCACACAAGCTTCCAAGTGGCAGCAGTCTAACCTCAGCTCGTAAAGCTGACCATTAGAAGTGCTTCTAGCACAAACACATACATATTCTTTCAAGGCTAGTACTAGTCAAAAGCATATTCTACAGTCCTACTGCAATCATCATCTAGCCTGCTAGACTTCCCACTGCTTCAGTACCTTGAGTTTTCCTCCAAAGAATTGCCATTCATGAGCATACCACACCTCTGCACTCTGTTCAATTTTCACTTTATCCCTTTTTGACCTGTAAAACGGCCAAGAGAACAGTATTCTGTGCGAGGGAATGATAAAGAACAGATGCAGACTGAAGTGGCACAGAAAAAGAAAAGGTGAGAAAATAAATTGCACAATTATCCCATTGCATCATTTGGAAGGTGCCAGGAGATAGACACAGATACAGCTAGATGATTGATTCCCATGGAGTCTACTGCTTTTCAGGCAGATACTTAAGTTCAGCAATAAATTGCACATTACACTGCGATTTCCAGAGAACATTCTTCAATTAAAGGCTTTTTAAAAAGCATACCATACTTGTTAAAATCACATTCTTAGTGTTCCTTTCTAAACAGGCCAATTTTTTCCTCTGTATCAATTGTAACAGTCTACACTTCGGGTGTAGACTACTGTACAACGTATTCCACAAAGCTATTCAAATATTCATTCCTAATATTCACACCCTAAGCAATCATTGTTCATTATCCTTGTGTATACTCTGTTCCTTCACAGGGACTTTTGAGATAAAGGCTGAAGACCTTAAGATGAAAATTATATATGAAGCCATTAAGGAGAAACAGGATCATGCCAACTAGCTGGCCCGCTAAATATAAATTATACACAAACTCGGTGCAAAAAAAGAAACACACTTGGAGGATGATGAGGCACTAACTGTTCAAGAGATGCTGTGATAACCCATCCCCAGTGCCACTCAAGGCCAGGATGAATGGGGCCCTTGAAAGCCTGATCCACAGCAGGGGTTGGTACTGAAAGGGAACTTAAGGCCCATGCAACCTTAAGCCGTTTTATGAAAATAAAAATAGAGGTTTTGATTCATAAAAAAATGGAAGTAATACTAAATACATTGAGGGAAAAAGCACCATAAAAGTTAACGACATCTTGACTGAAAAGCCCTTTATATGGTCTAGATACATTTAGAATGATTGAAGTGTTCAATTTTATTTGAAATTGCTTTGTTCCAGGCTACAGCACGCACTGGAGATATATAACCACTGTAAGCAGTGGTGTCCTGCAACTTGTATTTGAAAGCGCCAAAGGACAAACATTTCTCTATATTGTACAGACTAAAAGGTTAACCATCTTTCTAACCACTAAGACAACATATAGAGCAGCCTGAAAAGCAAAGACATTACCAAGATGCAGGGAGAATTCTACAATCAGACTTTGAAGACCATAATTTAGCAGTAGGAGACTTGACCAGCCCTCTCTATATTTGTTTTCCAGATGCAAGTTCAACAAAGGTTGAACTGTACAACATGAAAAAGTTAGTCCTAAATGACCACAATACCTACATGATGGTTTAAAAAAAAAAACTGTCTTCCATCTCACATTCAGCATATTAACAGTTATAAATGCACAAAATACGTATCTGGTGAAGTTTCAATGAGTGACACACTTACCAATACACACATCTATCTTCCCCTTGATAGCAGCCTCGTGCAAAGGAGTGTAGTTCCAATTGTCTCTAGCATTAGGGTCTGCACCTTGGCACAGCAACAGACTAACCACTTCAGCATGACCAAAGGAGCAGGCGTTGTGAAGGGGTATCAGCCCTCCGTCGTCACGAGCATGAACATTGGCTCCTGTCTGTAGCAAGTGCTCTACAACATCCTTCCTTCCAAACCCTGTAAGAAAACATATTGTTGTTCAATTGCTTTTGCAAAAAAGAAAAATGACAAAACTCCTCCAGAAGAGAAATTAATACATAACACTTAAAGGATGCAAGGAAGAAGCTGTCAGCTCTCCCCGAGTTGAACATACAACTCAACTCCAGTATCATGCTGCTGAAGAGGTGACAAATGATTTCCAGCAGCCAGCACCCTCTGTGACAGGCAGCACTTCTTGTATGAGGAATTTCCAAATGTTTTCCTTACAGAGTAGCTGCCCCTGGCCAGGAGTTCCACTTCAATGTGTTCAGCCCCTTTTTAGCCACAGCACGATACCAAATACAATTGTGCAGACTTCCAATGTAGAATTAACATGCTTTACCCCTGCCACAGTCCATATGGCAAGATGTCTGGACTAGACACAGCTGCTTGCATCCACACTGGCTTAATCTTATGGCTAATGCTATGACATGACACTGGGCCTTCAGCCAAGCCGCAGACTGGCTACTCTGCAGGGATTCGTACTGTCTCCTCACTGCAGCCCTTCAACACGTTTTCCTGGAGAAGTTTCCTAGGGGTTAACCAAGACTATGGTTAAGACAAAGGGCCAAATCTAAAAGACAGTTAAGAAACGTTACATGCAAGTTCTCATGGCAGCTTAAATAGGTACAGCAACAAAAAAGAGTGCCTGGTCCCACAGCAAAACTAGCAGACCTGAGAGCATAAACACCAAGAAACAATCCCTCATGCTTGCCACATTTATACTGTTTATCTTCATAGCAAATAAAAATTGGGCAAAATGGGAATTAGAAAGTGTAAAATTAAACAGACAAGTAAATTATTAGCCTTCAGTTTTTTTTATAGACTGAGCCCCTGCAAACAAGGCTGGAACTACACAACCATTTGCTTAACATGCTCCTGCCTCAAGAGGAAAAACATCCTGACTACCTGAAAACTTTTCAAAGCACTCACTATCACAATTTTCAGGACTCCATGCAAACTTCAACATGCTGCTTGACATGGGTTTTGTGATAAAGCAGTCTCTGGAAATGGCAGTGATAAACATCTGGTGAATAAATTCTTCTAATTCTGTCTTCAAGAAAGCACACATTTTTAAAGGTTTCTGCAATTTTTATCCCATCAAACCACAAGGCCACTTGTGGAGTAAGAGTACAGAAAAAGTAATCAAATGGAGAAATAGCTTCCCACCGGCTCCACCATGAGCAAACCTGCAAAATCTTCAGTAAACAAAGACAGAAACCTTTAAAAATGATTACAAGACAAATCTGACACAGCAGTTGTAATTAAAACAAAGACAGATACATGTCATCATTTAACAGATGACATAATTTTTGACACAATTCAGTTTAAACATGAGAAACCAATGTGGTTTCACTGAAGATAGCTTAAAAAAAATCTTCTGTATGTTACCAGTGAAAGTTTTATGTACAAAGTAAAAGAGCTCACAAGAAAGTACCTTAAATCAGAGGCCCTCAAAGAAATCTAATCAAATGTTTGTGCAGAAAACATTCAATAATAAAAGCTGACTGTAGAGGAGAATCTTTTCAGGAGGCCCATGCGTACAAGTCTGCTCTGGTGAAATTCACCTACCAGCTTCTAAAGTACTAAGAACTCATCTGTTCATCATCAGAACTCATTTTCAAAATGCTTGGTAAGAAAGAAGCAACTAAATACACGCATTTCCCACTAGAACGGTACCTTCCCTAGTGAGCACAACACATCAAATAGGCAACCTGAACTGCTAAATGTGAGTTTACTGTTTCACCTGCTGCCCAATTAATGTCACTTGATCACAGCACAGCATCAACTTCCCCAAGTGTTAATTCTAACCCTTGCAAAGCTGCTGTGATGTGCAGAGTTTAATTCATCACAAGGAAGATTCCTACCTTCACCTGGCATTTTCCTCCTCCTTTTACCTGCTTGCTCTTAAGAATGCAGATTCCAACAGGACTTCAAGTCTAAGCAAGCATATGACAACAGGTTAAGCATATCTGCAGGTCTCACTGTGACATTAAGGAAAGCAGCTCTCATTAAATGATTCCACTTTTTAGAGCACTAAACATAGCTCCTATTAGAACACAAGCCCTCGAAATAGCAAAGCACACATCTTAGAGACACACTGCCCTTTGAGAATTATTTTAAACTATAATCAAAGGGTGGAGAAAAAAGTTCCAGCTAAGCCACTACAATTTTGCTTCAGTACTGCACATTTTTCCCCCCAAGATACAGCTCTTCTGGAACCCAACAGCACTTCTACCAGTTCACAGCAGAGAATGCACTTAAACAAATTTAACTAAGCAAGTTGAAGAGCCTTCCAGCTGTGGAAAAGGGTACCTGGTTCAGTATTGCTGGACATTGGAGGCTTCGTATTTGTATTCTCTTGTAAATCCCTTCAATAAATTTCCACTAGTGATCCTTAGAATGGCCTTACAACAAGTTACAAGTGAGAGAAACTTCCCAGAAAACAATAAGCAAACATTTCACATCATACAAATACAACAAAAGCATAAAGGAAAGTTCCAGTCACCTAGTAATTGATGAACACTTCCTCTTACGAGCAAGAGTTCTAGTTTCACAGGCCCTGAGCCTTAAGGCTGCCAGGAGATTTTTTAATCAACAACAATTTCTATACTGGTCAGCACCATCCACATGAATCCAGCTGCCAATCTTCATTAGCTCTACTTTAAATTGCACAAGGCAGAATTAATCAGTGACTCAGCTTTACAAACACCTGTCTGAGTAAGGGCAGAGACATCTCTTCTGTGGCACAGATATCCCAGACAACTACAACAAAATCAGTAAGAGTAGTTTATGAATACGTATGTTCATCGCAGGGGAGTTGGACTAGACAACCTTTAAAAGGTCCCTTCCAACTCTAAGGATTCTATGAAGATATCCAAAAGCAAGACATTCCATAGCAAATTAAACTAGCCTCTTTTATCTTGTCCCACAGGTACCTCTGCATAGAGTGGAGGTGTGTAACAGACCACTGACGACTTCTTGCCATTTTCTGTCTCCCTCCTGCAAGCAACACCCAGCAGCTAGTTGTATTTCATCTGCTTTCTCCATTCCTTAGCCGACTTCCACATGTCGAAGCAGATTGTGTTCTTAAAATTAACAGCTTGCTAGCTGACAAGAAATCCTTCAGCATTAGTTGTTTACTCCAGAAATCTTTCCAAAGAACAGTGACATCTGTTAGACTTCACAAAAAGACCGGATTTCCAACAGTGATAACCAGTAGTAGGCAAGCTTATTGAAAACTTCTTCTGCACACAAGCTTTTATTGCCATTACTACAGACCAAAACTAAAAGAAGACAAGGAATATCACTGATGACATTCCTTGTCAAGTGATCAAGGAGTGATCTGGACAAGCTTACGACTGGCTGTATGTAGAACCTAGCAAGGACTCAGCTTCTTTCCATCAGGTTCATCCACCCAGTCACTGTGAGAGCACTGCTATTCCTGATGACAAACCACCAAGAACTAAATCTAAACACATGAATCAAGTGTCAGCAACAAATACATGCATTTTCTTTTGTAAGGCTAACGTTTTTTCCAGGTGGGAAGAAGCAAGTTCATTACTAAGAAGCCTCCTGATTATTCTTGCCAGCCCTGGGATTTGCCATGAATTCTGTTATCTCAAAATCACTCCTGAAGCTAGCATAATAATTTTACTGCTTCGCAAGACAAGGCCTTTGTCAAGCCAAGAAACAGACCACTGATGGAGAAATAAATAGTAACAGCTGAGTTTCTCCTAGCAAGCCATTAAATACTTGGAAAGGAAGTCCCAGACAGCCAGGTAACAAATCACAGGAATCCTTGCCTTCTGATTCTACAACTAGGTAAACGTAATATCAGTTCCTATACAAGTGAACCCCATTTTTCCAGATGAGTGTCAGTATGTACAATATATTTCAGTTTTAAAGAGTGTGCATATCATCCTCATAAAAACATAACCAGAATCACAGCATAAATAAAGTTTGCTAACTTGTAAATTGAATAACATGCTGCTCTCATTGCATCTCTTTCCCTTTCTTCCCTCTTTTTACCCTCTCCTCCCTCCCTTGATGCACCAAACAATCAAAGACAGTCTCAAACTCTGCAACTTTGCAGCTGTGTGTAAATATGCACCCAATTATTTAGACAATAACACTTACTAACAGGGCAAGCATGTAACTCTGGCCTAGACATCTGCTTTTAGCTAACAGTACAGATAAAGCCTTAAGCCAAAAACAACCTTTATGGCCTAGTGCAGTTGCTTCTTTTAAGTTGTTTGTATGGTAGTTTGCACTGGAAAAGAAATGAATAAAAGAAGCATACAAACACATTTACACTTCCACTTCACCTCTTTTTCTATTTTTAAGTCAATCATCTGCAAGTCTTTAGAATCTGCTTTTCATTCATTATCCAGTCTTCCTCTCTAAGCACACCTCCTGAAAGAGGCTCAGAATTTCAAGACAGGCTGTGCTCCAACCAGTCAGAGGATGGGAAAAAAAAAAAAGGAGCTTTTTCTTCAAATCACCCTCATACAGCCTCAATATTAAGTCCAAAGCAGGGCAGTCTTAATCATCAGGCTAAATGTTTCAGCACTAAGTTCAAGAACTAATTCCCCATCATTCAGATCAACTATGAACTCATTCCCAGATGAAGCTGTAGTATCACCCAGATTTTCTTTAACTTCATTTGACCGTGCACATTTTATCCATACATAGATAATGGACTGATAACTCCAACTTCTCAAACCAGGTTTATAACCCTTCCTTGTTGGTTCTTTGTCTGTTTTTGTTGTTTGTTTAGTTTTTAAAGCAACTGACTACAGAAATTTCAGTTCTCACTTTTTCCTAAGTTCATGCACATGCTAAGAACCCTGAATGTTCTCAAAGCCCCCCCCTTTTACCTTCTTCCTGCCATAAGTTGATGTGAATGATTCAGAAAATAGAACCCTTTGAAAGTTTAAGGAAAGCTGGACTTAATCTTAAACCAGCTAAATCTTAAACCAGCACTAAACTCGAACTAAAGCAGTCATGTCCTCTAATAGTAAAAGCAACTTAGCTGCCTCAAATTGTTGCCAAAAAGGGTATCTGAGAAAACAAGATTTCTCTCTAGTTCATTTAAGTTCCCAGGGAAAAAAATAAAAATAATGAAGATTCCAGCTGCTCAAAAAAAAAAAAGGGAAAAAAGGAAAATTTACTAGCTACTAAAATAATAATTCTGCCATAACCCACAGAAACAAAAGTGAAACTCTCTACTTTTGCCTGAAGAGTTTAGCTTGAAGAGCTCTGGAAGAAGCATACAGCACTGTTCAACTCCTATTCCCTTATAAATGCCCTTCAATTTCTATTTAGATGTGTCTCCTAAAACAGAAGCTATAATTCACAACATAGCTTAATATACACAGCAGACTCCTGTGCTCATAAGGCCATGGGAAATCAAATCAACACTGCATCATGAGCAAATATGTACTGCCCAAGACAAGTTGCATTCAACAACATGCATGCAGACTTGTCCAAAACAAAAGACCTCAAGATATCTATACTAAGAAACCTACTTAATGCTTTCTACATGCCAAATCCTTTTGAATCAGATATACTCATTTATTTGATGGGAAATATGTACCACAGCTAAGCATGATCTCCAAATCTGGAGACAGAGACAACAGATGTCTGTCAGATATAAGAACTTCACCTACTGTTTTTCTCACGTTATAAGTATCTTTCATTAGTGTTACAGTAACATCCTATGGATACTGTCACCTGGCAAAACTTTATCTAAAGTTTTTGTCTGCTTCTTACCTAATCAAAGTAGAAACTACTACTGCAACATCAGCACTACAGTCTACCCTAGCCCTGAAGGTACAACCTGAGACCCTGAAGTTTAAGGGGACACACCAAGGTGTTATTATAAATATGAATCCAAAATAAGCAGTGCAGACTCAAGATTAGTCTTGAAAACATCAAGCACTTCATGTGCACACGTGTGGTTGTGCCAGCATTACATCCCAGGGTCCACAGAAATCTGTTTCCACATTTGAGACACTCTTCACAATTCAACCTGTATAAAGTCATGCTTCACTGGCAGAGCTTGGAGATTAGAGAATGAAAAGGAAAGAGCTCAGGGCCAAAAGTTTCCCTAGGGGGTATCAGGAAACTCCACTAGAACTTCAGAAAGGACAATAAACCTACATAAGCTCAAAGAGCAGTATCTGACTGACAGCTGAACATCAGCTCAAAGTTCTCACCAACACTGCTAAGACAACATTCATTTCTGTTAGCAGCTTTGAAGTGCCGCTTTAAAGCCCAGCACCACAACATAGATACTGACCACTCACCAATCTTGTTAATTACTTTATTTGTGCATAACAGAGCACCACTTAAAGCTCAGGCAAGGCAGCAACACTGTGGTATGTATCACAAAGCCCTGCCGGCCACAGACCTAGCATCGTCCATTTTACTTTTATCATGAAAATAATTCACCCTGTACCCCCCTCCCATGAAGGCTAATCCCTGTAATATTTGTTATTATAAACTACACTCACCTGTGACAGTTGTGCTTGCTAAGAGACAATCATAGAATCATTACAGAACAGCTTGGGTTGGAAGGGACCTTAAAGCCCACCCAGTCTCAGCCACATGTCATAGGCTGGTTCTACCCGACCAGACGAAGGCTGCCTAGGGCCCCATCCAGCCTGGCCTTCAGCACTTCCAGGGATAGAGCAGCGGTTACTCCTTGCTAAGGTCACATATTGAATCTCACTGCCAGCTTGTTTCACAATATACTTTTTGATGTGCTATCACTTCCCTGCATTGATGCACAGCACCTCCTCAGCACATCTGCAACTTTCTAACCAAGTTCAATTGTTTCACTTCATCTTTTAGCACCTGTCCTGGTCTGAGTAAGGAGGGGAAAGAACAACTGGAAAGAAAAAAGTTACAAGCTGTGAGGCACTGGCTTTGATCCTTGGTTTACAGGTGTCTTTAGCTTTCAGGAGCTATCAGAAAAGAAGTGAAATCCCTCACTCCCAGAAAACTCCATCCTGAACTCCTTTCTCACTTCCAAAGCAAACAAGGTAAAGTTTTTTTTTAAAGCTGAAGGCCACGTGAGGAACACAGAGAGATCTGTCGGTGCTTTAGATTACCACCACACACAGAAGCCACGCTTTGCCTCGGCACGAGAAATACGGAGCTCAGATAGCTCCCCACCCCAGCACCTTCCGAGCCCCGGCCCTCGAGCCCCATAGAGAGCCGCCCCGGCCCCTCCGGGCACTGACCAGCGGCGAAGTGGAGCGGCGTGGACTTGCGGCCGGCCATGTCCTTGGCGTTGACGTTGCCAGCGTCCACCAGGCGCTTGACGCGCGTCACGTCTCCATTACGGCAAGCCTCCAGCAGCTCGCGGAAGGCCCCGCTCGGGCCCGCCGCCTCAGGGCTCTCCGCCGCCGGGCTCGACGCCACCGACGACGACGTGGACGAGGAGGAGGAGGAGGAAGAGGCCGAGCTGCCGGAGCTGCTGCCCGAGCCCGGCGGCGGGCCCGGCGCGGCGCTCTCGGAGCACTCCGGGGCCGGAGGCCGCTCGGCGTCGGGGGGAGCCTCGCCCTCGGGCCCGGCCAGGCTGTGGCGCTGCGCGGCGGGGCCGAGCTCGGCCGGCGCGAGGCTGGGGCTGCGCGGCGGAGAGGCGGCGGCGGGCGGCGAGGCCGGCCCGGGCGGCGGCGGGGGCCCGTGGTGGTGGTGGTGGTGCTGGGAGCGGCGCGGCGGCGCCGCCATCTTCGCCCTCCTCCCTCCCCCGCCTTCCTCTCGGCTCCCGTCACTGCGGCAACGGCAGCGGCTTCCGCCCGCCGCCGGCCAATGACGACGCGGGGCGACCGGACGTCACGCGGCGGGGGGGCGGGGATGGCGGAGGGGGCGTGGCCGCATCGCGTCCCGCCCTCCGTCGGGCAGCGGCTCGCGCCTGCCCCCTGGCGGGCTCTCGTGCGATCCCGCCCTCTGGGAAGCCCCGCCCCGCGCCTTCGGAAGCACCGCCCGCGCGGGACCGGAACGCCTCTGCGATCGGGAGCGGAGCCGCAGGTACGCCTGTGGGAGCTGGGCTCTATTGAGAGACAGCTGCGAAGCGGTTCTGGCCGGCGCCTGACGCGCTCCCCCAGCGCCAGAACTGGGCTTTGTGCATCGCTTCCCGCCGTGCTGGGGCTGGTGCCAGGCCCGCCTCCTATCCCTGACAGAGACGCGCTCAGTAGCGGGGAACCGGGCCTCGTTTCTCCTGAGCTCCCGTTTTGTGTGCCCTCAGCCCGGTCATCGCGCCGCCAGCAGGAGGAGCGCCTACTTCCCACAGCCTTCACCTTCCCACAGCCTTTATTTATCAGCAAAGCCCAGAGTTGGGCTTTCCTCTTTCAATAAAATGCTTCAAAGCACTAATGCTAGCCACTTCACAGCCCCTCAGCCCCGGCTGGTGGCAGCTAGGAGCATCGTGGACTGAAACGTGTTATTTTGGTAGCAGGAAACAAAGTCGTGGGCCTGGTATGGCAAGAACGATTGGGCAAGGTGATGGAGAAGAGGTTCGTTCTCTGTTCAGGAGGAACTGAACGTGCTATTTCAGATGTGAGGAAGCAGCTCCTGGTGTGTGCAGAGGGGCTGCTTCCTCAGTGGTCCTCAGACAAAATCTGAGTTAGTTCAGATAAAAAATATTCTGTCAGGATGTAAGGATGCTCCGAAAATCAACAAGGGCAAGCCTGGAAAAGAGCTCTGACAGGAACAATGCAGTGAGAGGCCACAGAGTACCTGTGTCTCTCAGCAACAGGATCTGATACCAGCCCACCAAGAAGGATGGGAAGGGCCTCCCGGGTCATGGTGTCCCTGCAGAGCTGTTCCTCCAAAGCCGAGTGGCAGTTCCAGGGCCAAAAGGCACTTCAGGATTGCCTCTGATGCTTTGGGCAGCTCCTGAACCCAGCCTGGTGCTGAGCCTTACCTGCCCGCATCCACACTTCCTCCCCACCCTTCGCATCCTGTGTTTGGCTTTGCCAGCCAACGCTACCAATTTTCCCTTCTCGGGGATGACTTCATGGTCAGAACAAAGTTGAACTGAAACACGGTGAAGGTTTGCTAGGGCTCAGAGCACCTGAAGAAAGGGCTTTGCTCCAGGTTGTCACCGATGGGAAAGAAAGATGGCCACCGAGCCTGCAGCTTTGCGATGCGCAGATGTAGCAGTGGGTGAATGCGGTGACCTAGCGCGGTGTCGAGGATCCGGCCAGATGCAGGCGGCGGAGGGAACAAAGCCCGGCAGGAAGGTGGCGGAGTTGCTCCGAGTAACCGCGGCGCTGCCGGCTCTCCGCGGCACGTTAACGGGAGGGCAGGTTCACCCCGGCTGCTGGGCGGAACGGCCGGCCCCTGCCCGCCGCAGGGGTGACGCACGGCTCAAGGCCGGTAGCTCAGCCCTACGCCGCCCCCCGGGAGGAGGTGGCACACGCGGCCCTCCTCGGCGCCGCTCTCGGCGGGGGCTGCCCTACGGGCGGGCCGTGCCCGCGTCCCGCCCCCGGCGGGGCGGTGGCGGCGGCTACGTGCGCGGGGCGGCGCGGCGCGGCGCGGCTGGCGGTGCCGGCGCGGAGCCGCGGTTCGCCCCGAGCCCCGGCCGCGCCCATGGCGAGCAGCAGCGGCGGCGGCAGGTAGGGCGGGCGGGCGGCGCGGGGCCCCGCTCCCCGGCCATGGCGCAGACGGAGCCCCCGAAGGCGGCGCGGCTGTGGCGCGACGCCGCCCTGCGCGTTCGGAAGCTGCGGGGCGGCCCCGGCGAGCCCGAGCCGGAGCCGGACGAGGGGCCTCCGGGGGGGCCGCCGCCGCCCGCGGCCCGCCGCCCGCCTCTGGGAGAGCTGGAGGCGCTGAACCTGAGCGGGCGGGGGCTGGAGGAGCTGCCCGAGGAGGTGGGCGCCGCCCTGAGCGGGCTGCGGGTGCTCAGCCTGCGGCGCAACCGGCTGTGCCGCCTGCCCGCCGCCGCCCTGCGGCACCTGGGCCGCCTGGCAGAGCTGGACCTCAGCCACAACCGGCTGCGGGGCCTGGGCGACGGCAGGGCGCTGGCGGGGCTGCGGGGCCTGCGCAAGCTGAGCCTCAGCCACAACGAGCTGGGCGCCGAGAGCCCCGGCCTGCCGCCCCGCCTGGCCGAGCTGGCCCGCCTCGAGGAGCTCGACCTCAGCTTCAACCGCCTGCGCCGCCTGCCCGAGGGCTTGGGCTGCCTGCGGCACCTCCGTGCCCTCGACATCGATCACAACCTGCTGTCTTGCTTCCCCGCCCCGCTGCTGGAGCTTGCCGCCTTGGAGGAGCTCGACTGTTCTGGCAACCGGCACCTGGGAGCCCTGCCCGAGGGCATTGCCGCCCTGCACCGCCTCAAGATCCTCTGGCTGAGCGGCACGGGTCTGTCGGCCCTACCTGAGGGCCTCTGCCAGCTGGGCGCCCTGGAGAGCCTCATGCTGGATGGCAACCAGTTGCGGACTCTGCCCGCCGGCTTCAGTGGCTTGCAGCGGCTCAAGATGCTGAACCTCTCCTCCAATTTGCTGGGTGAGTTCCCCGCCGCCATCCTGGCGCTGCCAGGGCTGGAGGAGCTCTACCTGAGCCGCAACCAGCTTGCTGTGCTGCCTCCTCACCTCTGCCAGCTCCGCCAGTTGCGCACCCTCTGGCTGGACAACAACCGCATCCGCTACCTGCCCGACTCCATTGTGCTCCTGCACAGCCTGGAGGAGTTGGTCCTGCAAGGCAACCAGATCGCCATCCTGCCCGAGGGCTTTGGGCAGCTCTCCCGCGTCACCCTGTGGAAGATCAAAGATAACCCCCTCATCCAGCCTCCCTATGAGGTCTGCATGAAAGGCATCCCCTACATTGCGGCCTACCAGCAGGAGCTGGCCCACTCCCAGCCTGCCCTCAAACCCCGCCTCAAGCTGGTCCTCATGGGTCTGAAGGACGCTGGAAAGACCCTGCTGAGACGATGCCTGATGGAGGAGGATGGGCAGAAGGAGGATGCAGGAAGCCTGGAAGCAGGGAGCGCCCAGCCCCGAGGGTGCCCTGGGCAACAGCAGGATGGTGGGAGAGCAGTGGGATGCTGTGCCGTCCCTGAGGATGCTTCTGAGCGGCGGGACATGTGCTCTCACGTGCCGTCCCACCAAGGGAAGGGAGAAAGGCCGTGCCCTGCACCCTCACTGCCTCCAAATGCCTCCCAGGTTTCGTCAGGACTGCGACTGTCAGGCAGCAAGGGCATTGAGGTGATGGACTGGACTGCAGATGCAGAGAGGGGCTTGACATTCATTGTGTATGAGCTGGCAGGGGACCCGACCTACGATGTGATCCAGTCTTTCTTCCTTTCTCCTGGAGCGCTCTATGTGCTGGTGGTGAATCTGAGTGCCTACGTCCCTCAGCACTTCTACCCGTCTGTGGGCTATTTCTTGCACTGGCTGGGTTCCAAGGTGCCCCACGCTGTGGTGTGCATGGTGGGAACCCATGCTGACCTCTGTGCTGAGCGGGAGTTGGAAGAGAAGTGCCTGGACATTCATCACCAGATTGCCCAGCAGGAGAAGAGGGATGCTGAGGGCCTCCAGAGCCTTGTCCAGCAGGTAGATGAGGCTCTGGGACAGGACTTTGACCTGCGCTGCTCCAGCCCTCACACTGCCTTTTATGGGGTCTCAGACAAGAACTTGAGGCGAAAAAAAGCCCAGTTTCAGTATCTTCTCAACCATCGGCCTCAGATCCTCTCTCCTGTACTGCCTTTCAGCTGTTGGGACCACTGCCAGGTGCGTCGCCTGCGGGACAAGCTCCTCTCGGTGGCTGAGCACCGTGATATCTTTCCAAACCTGCACCGGGTGTTGCCCAAGTCCTGGCAAGTGCTGGAAGAGCTGCACTTCCAGCCACAGGCTCAGCAGCTGTGGCTGAGCTGGTGGGACTCTGCCCGGCTGGGCTTGCAGGCAGGCCTGACAGAGGACCGGCTCCAGAGCGCCTTGTCCTACCTGCACGAGAGCGGGAAGCTGCTCTACTTTGAGGAGCACCTCACACTGAGGGAGTACGTGTTCCACAACTTGCCGCGACTCATCGACATCCTCAATGTTTTCTGCCAGCGGGATGCCACTGTGCTGCTCCAAAAACTGCTCAGTGACACCCACGTTGATGAGCTGAGGGCCACTCAGCTCCATCATTACGTGGAGGGCTTCTTGCTGCATGGCCTCCTCCCTGCCCATGTTATCCGCCTCCTCCTCAAGCCCCATATCCAGAGCCGGGAGGACCTGCAGCTCATCCTGGAGCTGCTGGAGAAGATGGGGCTCTGTTACTGTGTCAACAAACCCAAATCTAAGCCTCTAAATGGGGCGACCGCTTGGTACAAGTTTCCCTGCTATGTGAAGAATGAGGTGCCCCATGCGGAGGCGTGGATCAATGGTGCCAATCTGAGTGGCCAGTCATTTGTGGTGGAGCAGCTGCAGATTGAGTACAGCTTTCCCTTCATTTTCCCACCCGGCTTGTTTGCACGCTACAGCGTCCAGATCAACAGCCACGTGGTTCAGCGCTCAGATGGCAAATACCAGATCTATGCCTACCGGGGAAAGGTGCCAGTGGTGGTGAGCTACCGGCCTGCCCGGGGAGCCCTGCAGCCAGATACACTGTCTATTGCTAGCCACGCATCCCTACCAAATATCTGGACAGCTTGGCAAGCTATTACTCCCTTAGTGGAAGAACTGAATGTCCTGCTCCAGGAATGGCCGGGCCTGTACTACACTGTGCACGTCCTCTGTTCAAAGTGCCTTAAAAGAGGGTCACCCAACCCACACAGTTTTCCAGGTAAGGCACGACCAAGCTTGCCTGTCACCCCTTCTGGGGCTTTGTGCCTTCTTTGAGGGGATTCTGCCATGTTTATGTGAGCTTGATCTTTACTTATCCCACCCTCCCCCCTCTCTGTCTCTCTTTCCTGATGACTTGAGTCATAGAAGAAAATATTAGGGTAGCTCCAAGGAGATAGGCTTAAAATAACACTATTCTGAGATAGGGGAATGTTATGTCTGCCTTTGCCTAGGCCTTTTTTCTCTGCTTTTCAGGTTCTTGTCCTAAGCAGTGGTCATCCGTCATTGGGAAGACCCTATCCTGTGCTGATACTGATTTCTTTGAATGGCTCAACATTTTTTCCTAAGTCTTTTATCCTGCAGCTTCACCTTCTTTGGAGCTGTTTGTAAACACAGAGATGCCTGATAGCACCTTGGTGTCCCTACTCCCACCCAAAAGCATTCCTCTGAGTGCAGGAAAGCTCCTGCTGGTACACAGTAGCCACACTGATCTTTGTAGCCCCTTGTCATGCCCTCTTTTTTAGAAGAGCCTCTGACTCTAGGAGGAGGCATTCCTCCGTGCTCCATCTTCTTTGTTTAGGTCTCTCACCTGAAAGCATTTCCCAGACTTTGCATTTGGGTGATACTATTCCTTAATAAATATAAATATATTTTTTCCTTCCCCTCTCTCCCTTCTTCTAATGAAAAAACCATAATCTGTCTCCTCTGTTACGTGACTAGCCATGGTGCTTTTTAAATCTTTTGCCTATAAACTCATTACTGTTTTACTTTGTGTGTATACCTCCTGACCTGCATTCTCCTGCTCCTCTGGGTTTGCTTTGGGGTTTGCTGATGTGTGTATCTGTTTGAAATGAACATCCACTCTGAGCTGTAAGCAATGGTCCAGAAGCATACATTTTTATACACCCCTCTCCCCCCCCACTTTGGAAGTGTGTTGAAGCATTCCTTATTTACAGGTAACCTGAAATTGTGAGGGAACTGGACTATGTGCTAAGTTAAAGCAAGCAGGGATGCTGGACAGGTTTGTAGGCAATGTGAATCATAGAGTCACAGAATCAGTTGAGTCAGAATGGGCCTTTAAAGGTCATGTAGTCCAACTCCCCTGTAATGAACAGGGACATCTAGAGATACATCAGGATAGTAGGGTGTGTTTAGATATTTGTTTTGTTAGCTGATTTCATCCCCTAAATATGCTCTCTTTTTGTAAGGAGCATTGGACTCAGGTGAGGGGAACCCTGACTGTGAATTGGGAAGTGACACTCCCATGGTCTGGCTGCTGACATGCTCAGGGCAATGTGATCTGCTTTCAGAAAAAAAAGAAAAAAAAAACCCTAAAAAAGTAGCTAAGAGAGCAACCAGTATGTTTGGGCATTAGCATGGATATTGAAGATTCAGCTTTTGATGAAATCAGGCCTGCAGTCACGCATCATTTCCATGCGTGTGTGTTTCACAACTGATCTTTTATGACCCCATGGAGCTGCAGGTAAATGAGAAACCTGTTTGTCTGCTTGGGTGTTATTTAAATGGAGCCTGGCTATGACTTGTGTTGAGTGAAAAATGCAACCCCCCAACCGTTTAGAAGGGTATAGCCTGCATGCTTGCCTTTGATCCAAAACAGTCTTTGCTGTAGATATGCTCAGTGAATAAGAGAGCGCTTAGCATCTCTGTGGGAATCGTGAAGCAGTGGGGCTTTTTTTCCCCAATTTTGTTGAACAGGAGGTGTGAATATTTAAAGTTGTAGTGCTTTCATGTGAGTGTGTCATAGTTGGTATCACTTGTGACAGCATGTGGGAAGGAGATGGTTCCAATGTTACTAAAACGTGCAGCAATGGAGATGTCTGTGTTTCTTTCCAAGCTCCTCCAGCAGAAATCCTGGCAAATACAGAGCTGCTAATTCTGAAGTAGGACTGTGGTCTTTTTAGGACTTCACTGAAGAAATGCTTTGCAGCCTGTTGACTTTAATAAGGGAAATATTTCTGAGAAGACACTGCCAAATTTGTGCTCAGAATTGGAAGTGTAGTCTGGCTGTGTCTGCTTGTGCAGTCTGTGTCGTCATTCGTGAAATTGATGGTGCATTTTTGCCATCCAACATTTTTGTTGGAATCCCCTTCCAAGAGGGAATTTGCCTGTTTAAGAGTTGAGAGTTAATCCTTGCTTCTACTCTGAACCTGCTTGTGCATGTTTTCATTGTTTAATAGAACACAGAAATCCTTCAAGTACAATATAGTGTGCGCAGTAATGGTTAATAAGAATTGAAATTCTGGATTCGGTCTTCTGAACGTTTATTGCAAACAAACTATGAATAAAAATGATCTAAAAAGGACCTGACAGAATCCTTTTAAGGAAGCTTTCTTGTTTGAAACGGCTTTGTAGTTGGGTGAATCAGTAACCGAATTGGCATCCGAGTTGGAATCTGTGTGCTTGGAGGCTGCAGTCATCTGCTCAACCAGTAAGTGCTGTGTTGAATGTTTGAGTGGTTTTTTTTTTCCTTTATGTTTGCACTACATATAAATAAAAGGATCTTTTCCAGACTAAAGAAGACAAATCCTTGAACGTACTGACCAAAAAAAAAAATTGTTTGCCATGTCAAGATGAGACCTTTGTTGGATTGTCACAGACGCTGTGAAATGCTATGATTTTGTGTGTGATTTGATGTTCCTGAAACAAAGGGCTTTTGGATGGTGGGTGTAGAGAAAAAGGATGGACTGTGGGACCTTACCTCAGGTTCTTCTGAGCTGTGCTATGCACAAGGCATTCTTAAGCCTTGTGTGGCTCGTTGGGGGGGGAAGCAATTCTGTTTGTGGAATGACTTGCTTTTTTTCCTGCCTCTGAAGTTGCCTGTATGAACATAGGTAAAAGAAGGCCAAGAGCTGTGTCTGTTTTAGAAAACTCACAAAATACTGTTTCAAACAGGACAATCATTTTCACAGATAAAAATTTGCCAGCGAGTGGAAAGCTATGGGCAGATAAACTGTGTGTGATGCTCTCTCAGCCTGTCCTAATAGGAGAGATGCTGCAGTCCCTTTATCATGTTTGTGGCCTTTTGTTGTACTCCCTCCTGTGTGCTCATTTCTCTCCTGTACTGGGGACCTGGACTGGACCCAGTATTCCAGGTGCAGCCTCACTAGTGCTGAGCAGAGGGGAAGGATCCTGTCCTGCTGGTAATGCTTTGCCTCGTGCAACCTAGAGCACCATCAACCTTCTGAGTGACAGGGCACATTACTTACTTGCATTCAGTGTAGTGTCTTCCAGAACCCCAGGTCTTTTCTGGGGAGCTACTTCCAGCTCGTGCCCCCAGCTTGTCCTGAGACCTGGGAGATCACAAGTCTCTATTCCATCCTTGCTTTAGAGTCAAAGGGAAGCATGAATTCCCATGGTGGCTGGGATGCAGTAATGAGATGGCAAGATTTCACTTTGTCATGCTGTAGAGTCCTGCATAAGGTGGAAAAGGAACAGGTGGGACTGGTTTTCTCAGAAAGGGTCAGAAGATGCTCCCAAGTTTGAGCAAGCCTCCAAATGAAAAACTCATGTCAGATGTCTAATTGTTCTTCTAATTCAATTATAAGCTTTTTTGCCAGGTGGAGCAATACCTCTTAAAGCCTGATGTTAGCATGTGGCAGCGTTTTTTCATCCCTGTTTGAGGGTGGAGTTTTTTCTTTTTTCTTTTTTCTCCTTATTTTCAGATTAGATGCTTCATTATTTTGGGGCTATTACAACCCCTCTAAAAAATGCCCTGCGCAGTGTGAGTACTGGGCACCAGTTGTCTGGATGGCTGGAGAATGCTGAGCAGGACCCCACAAGTCAGGAGGAAAACAGGCCTGTAATAAAGGAAACAAGCTTACAAGCTGCAATTGGGTTGTTACAATAATGATGTGTGTATATAGCCAGATTCTAATTTGTATCTCCTGCTCTCAAAGCCTGGGGAAATGGGTTGGTGGTTCTAATTGGTGTCTCACTTAGCAAAACTTCTCCCCAAGCTGTTTGTTCCTTAACTGCTCATCTGGACCTACTTCATTCCACGTGGAGAGTCACCTCTGGACTTGGACTTGGAGCTGCCATCAGTGACCCAAGGAAATGCTAGGTTTAGGTGTGTGCATCTTTGGTTTGGTTAGTGAAGAAATGCAAATGTTTTGGCCTTCAATGCATTTTATTCCCCACTTTTTTTTTTTTTTTTTTTTGTTGCTGCTATTTCACTTTGCAGGAAATGACCTGTAAGAAAGGTGCTTAGTACCAAGTGATTCTTTGTACAAGAGAGCTGTTAAAAATTGACTGACTGTAAGCGTTAGTGATTGCTCAGATCAAATACAAATGCAGGTTTTCTCCTTTCCAGAGTCATCTGGTTTGTGTTTCACATGCAGGTATCCTGAAACATGCTTTAGTTCCTGCTACCTGCATGCACTTTTGGTGAAAACAAAACACTTAGAAGTGGGAACTTTTCCCATGTGGGTTTGGTCATGTCCTGTCACATGTGTTTCACATGTGTGTGTTTCACATGTGTGATAAAAATGCTGCAGAACATTATACATTTATGAAAGGCTATACTCTTTTTCTTGTGACAGGAATCCTCACGCTGATGTCAGCTTTCATATTTGAGGAGCTATAGGAAGTCTATGCGTCTTTGAGAGGAAAGCTCAAATGTGCAAGTATGTTGCAAGGTCCTTTCACCTATCAGGAGAAGATGGTGGGAGTCTGCCAGTTTTGGTATTGTGCACCTTATTTGACATTGGGATAGAGCTCTGGAGAAAAAACAAGCATCACTTTAAATGTGGAATATGGATAAATCTGTCTGGTAGTTAATTCTGCACAGTGCCATGTCTTGTATTTGCAGTATAGAGCAGGTAGCTGTGGGCAGCCTTGCATGCTACTCACTAATTAGTGGTCTGTTAATGGTAGCACAGGTTAGTTGTTTGGCTCCTAAAAGCAGTTTGCCAGGAGAGAAAATGTGCTTAATGAAAAGCTCTGTGTCAGTTACAGTATTACCAAAAGTAGAAACCCATGCTGCCTGCTTGCAAAACCCAGCGGCAGCAATTGAATTTCATTTGGGATGTTTGGCTGCAGTGACTTTGAGGTTCTGCTGTAGCAGGCTGAGGTCATGCTGTACTTGTGGTATTTTTCTGGTCACAGCTCAGACCTGCATCCTCTGGTCATGCCAAAGCTGTCGGTGGCATCAATGCCCACTCACAGGCACATGGTCAGGGGCAGCTTGCTTGTGGCCAGTGGATGGAGACCAGGATTGCAGTGGATGAGCTGTTTGTACTGGTTGTGGTTTAATGCATAACCCTAACTGCAGATTATTTTTTTTCCCCAGTTTCTTCCCCAGTATTTCAGGAGCAAGTAACCTTCAGTG